GGTTTGTATTTTTTAAAAGAAAGTGAAGAAAAATCTGTTCTTCATGATTTAATTGGTGAGTGGTGGCAGGGGGTGAGGATGCAACAGGTCCAGAAGTCCCTTCATGAGGAAACATTAATATTAGTCCCTCATGAATGTGGTTTAAGAGAATCCTGGATGTTTCACACTGGTGTTATAACCCTCTAAGAAATGGGCAGGTCCTCTCACCCTCAGGAAGGCTCTGTAGCAGATGCTCAGTTGTGCTATGTTTTTGAATTCACCTAATATTGTTGCACTTCCATAGGCTCAGTACACCACTCCGAGACCTGCTGTCCTTCTGGGGAAGGAATGATAGGTTCAGAGTGGAAATTATGAAACTTTCCTTTCTATAGTTTGATCCAGAGCTTATGTGTAAAGTTGCAACTATTATCTCAAAGATTTTTCTAAGACTTCATAAAATTTCTGTGTACAAAGTGCAAATGCAGTGTCCCTTCAGGCCAATGTACTCTTGTTTGGACGGTTGGGGAAGGCTGTGATCCTTTATCCAGCCTTACTTCTTGAGTCACTTAAGAGGATGAAAAGCTGCTCAAGTCACATGCCAACAAATGCTTCAGCATTTGTAACACCAACCCATCTTTAGCTGTGGTAACGTAAATTACTGAAGAGTACTAGAAAGATGAAAAAGCTGTGGTTTTAGTCCTACAATTGGTTGCTGCTTCAAAATTGTGGTAGTTTCCAGAAGTTTTGCAGGCAGATATTGGTCTTTTCACTTAGAGGCAAGAATCAAAATACTGCTCGGTGTTGCTATTCCTTGGCATTGCTGACAGTCTGAGAGAGTTAAAATGTTGAGTTCAGCTGTGATTACTTGCTCTTGTTGCTTCCTCCTAAGCCTTGTTCTGCACCAATAGCTAGACTAAAAACTCTAATGATGGAAGTGATTCTTCTGATACTTTTGCATGTATTTATACTTCTTCTTTTCTACTTCTGGTTTTCAAGTTTTCATAAGATGGCTAGGAAGAGAGGGAATGGAGAGCTGATGTTCTTGTATTGAGACAGGTGAGAATATCATAAGGTGTGTGTGTGTTTAAGGATGTGACTCAAAGACAAGGTAATTTCAGCATGGTGGCATCCAATATATATGCATTGTCTTAGTATTGTATTTGCAGCAATTTTTGCTTCATGATCTAGTTTGTAGGAGATAAATCAGATGCCATGCACTGAGCAAAGGAATTTATTTATACAAATAAAAGCCTTTTCAATTAACTTCTCAGTTAGTCTGGGATCTATAGCAGTGTAACTACATCCCAGAAAAGGTTTTGCCTGTGATGTGAATCCTAGTGCGAGGAGAGAAACTGGAAGTTGAAGAAACTCTGAGTAAAGAATCAGTGTATCAGCACTATGGCTGTACTTTCACCTTTTCTTTTTGACATGTGTGCAAAGATAGTCTTTATTCACTGTCCCTCTTTTATTTTGTCGGAATGCACATTCATGAACACATTTACATGTCAGGTTTTCATACCAACTCTAGACAAGTGCATTAGGAATCAAGGACATTGCCTCCAATCACTCTCTGCAGATTCATTTGGCTTTTACACTTCAGCATTTGCAGCTTGGTCTTGTTTTATATGCTAGATGAGGTTTATGCCAGCCTAATTGGTTGCTGGCATTCCTTAATTTCACAGCTGCTGTATTCAGCTGTGTACTAGAAAAAAACATAATGGAATACTGTTTGCAGAGAGCAATAGGCAATTGTAAAGATGTAAATTTGCTTTCTGGACGTTCAATAACATGAAGACTTTTAGTATCACATTAAAGATTTTAAGGAACAAATTGTGTAGATGTATTGCCACTTTAAACATTATAGTATACATTTTCTATTTAAACTGAGAATATTTAGAAGTTAGACATTATTTTTAGTTTTGTTAATGTCGTTTACATAATCCTGACTTTCCTGGTTGGCGAGCAGATGAGGATTGGCGAGAGATGGAAGATTGTGATTCTTTTGTTAAGGGATGTTAGCTTACTGTGTGTGTGAGAGTGTTCACTATTTTTGTTCGTTCAGCATCCTGCTTTGATCTCCTTTCACTTGTTACGGCAAAGATTTAAGCCTTTAATTCTAAAGTGTTATTTCTTCTCTATCAAGAAGTAATACAGAGCAAAGGAACAGGTAATATGCCTTGCTTGGTGGCTGATGGTGTCTCAGCTTTCAGCTTTTACTAGTGGTCTTCCCTCAATATTTAGCATGTTATCAGATTCTGTAAAGATTATAATAATTACATTGTATATAATATGTTTCCTGAACTTATATTTTTCGTGTTGATAACTGGGCCAAACATTAAAAAGAGCAGTAGATTATACCAATGTAAGCTTGATGAGTCTTCCAGTTCCTACAGTTTTGAAAAGGTTTAATGCCCTTGTAGACCCGGGGTGTGGCATTGCTATAGGAAAGATAGAGATTCTACTGTTTCTTTACTAATAAGCCAGAAAGCTAATTAAAAGTTTTTGAAACAGTGGTTTTGTACAAAATGGGGGCACTAGAGTTATTAACTACAGAAAAGTTAGTGGAAAGGTCTTTTGAAGACCTTGCACAAGGAAAACTTTTACGGAAGTGCTTGTCCATGGAAATGCCGTGCAGGAGTGAATGCCGTGCCCTGTGAGCCTCCTGCAACATCGTCACCGCTAGAACTAGGCCATGGTCCTCAGGGCAGGATGAGGGATTGAGCAGTGAATGGGTGAGGAAACCAGAGGAAAGCCTGTGTATCTGGGGCAGGCCAGGGCTGCTACTCCTGCCGTGCATCTTCCGAGCATTCGCTGCTGGTCTTTGGATTCCCGCTGAGGGGTGCCCCACGCCACTGCTATCACCCTGGTTGTCGCTTGCTTTTCCTCAGCACATGTTGATACACATGCTGGAGCTTAAAACTATGACCCTCATGCATGTTGGCTGTTATGTATGAAGTGAGTAAATCATGATAGGGTGTTTGTTATTATTTACTCACCCTATCTTAACAGCTTATGCAACAAGTGATAACAATGCAAATTGATACAAATTGTGGGTTTCAGAAAAAGTGAAGGAATCCAGACTTTTTCTGTAGATTTGCACGGGCAATGTAAGGAATTGCAGAGCCTGGAACTTGAAAGAGAAAGATACTAAGGAAATAGAAGTCGAGGAGCAGAAGGAGGATGTGGCATTTTGTTTGTTTGTTTTTGTAAAGAACTACTAACCTTCTTCAATGGAGGACTGAACCTATGACTATATGTTGGACGGGGACAAGTCCAGAGGTTACAAATGATTATGTAGGTATGTTATGTTCATAGCAAGGTAAGTATTGTATGTATGAATACAGTGCTGCCCAGGGGTCCTAGCTACTGAATTAGTCCTGGGTTTGCGATGTTTTGACTGAGTTTTAGTTAATCTGTTCTCCTTAGTTTTGTACTAGAGTACATAGATTTACCGTTACCTTCTGTGAGCCTTGCAGCTTCTTTATTTACTTATACTTAACTGGGAATGAATGATTAAATAGCCTTTGAAATAAAATAAAATATTAAATATATAAAGCTCTGTCACATGTGTTGTAGAGCAAGATTATCTGGGATTTCACTTAAGGTTGATGCTGGAGTTTGAAATAGTCACTGAAGGGTGATGGTCGGGGAGGATGTGGAAGGAATGGATTGATGTGAGCGAGTGCTGTAGGTGGAGAGGGGCAGGGTTGTCTGCTGCCGTCACAGATGCCAGGTTGCTCAGGTAGCTGGTGTGCAGGCCGTAGAGGTGCCTGGGCTGGTGACAGAGGGAGGGAGCTGCGCTGGCCTCCAGCTGCCCTCCTGGAGATACCTGCAGATGTACGTGGGGACTCCTTGTGACCTAGAAACAAATTAAACCTATGTGATTTTTGAGGGAGTTCCTGCAATCTTTCTGCATGTATAAAGCTTTAAGAGCAAGTGTGCTGTGTTTCTGAGTTTATAGGACTTTTTTTTTTTTTTTCCCCCAGAGTTAATATTAATAAAAAAAATGATTCTAACATTCCTTTTTACTACTCTTCTTTCTTCTCAAATATGATATAGAGTAAGGGGTTGCTTGTTTGTGTTATAGCTGACCAGAGGAGAGTATTAGGGGAATGGTTGTTTTTTGTCTTGGTTTCTTTAGAAACCCCAATTCTTGGTACTCTCAGGGCAAAGAAATGATGTGAAATCAATGTGACACTTGGGTCTTAGTGCAGAGCTGGTCTGTTATTACAATTGCTCCTCACTACCATGTGCAGGAAATAAGGTGCGACAGATGATATTAAAAGAATTTGTGATGCACTATATATTTAAGATGGAAAAAAACATCTCCCTACAGAAAATTTTCTATTTTATTGTACTTTACAGGGGCTTGCTAACTTTAGCTCTTTTGTTTGAGAAGACTTAGCAATAGCAACTCAACTCCAGTTTGACTCCAGCAATTTGTGTTAACAATTGTTTCTACAATGATGATCTGAATTGTTGATGCAGGGAATTTGCTTTTAGTTGAGTGATCAATCGTTTGAATGTTCATCAGAAATGGATATCAGAATGCAATTTCAAGGTGCTTTGCTCCTATGTCAGAACAATTAATGTAGCAGCCTGTGAAGGGACAGAGGGTGAGAGGGAAAAAAAAAGAAAAAATAAAAAATAATAAAAAAAAAAGAAAAGAAAAGAAAAGCCCTTTGTGTGGTGTACCACAGTAAACCTTCCTGCCCATAGGAGATTCATGGTGTCGGAATTGCTATCAAAACTTGTCAAAGAAAGAAGGGTTTAAACTGTATTTTTCACAGGGTGATCTACTGGCTTACCATCAGTTTTCTATTTCAGTGTCTTATTAGAATCTCCCTTTATGAATTAGATTTGAGCCAATTTACAGTAAGTGGTCAGGGATCGTTATTTATTTATTTATTAGCCCTCCTTTCTGCTTTTCTCTTTGTTTTCCAGTACAGGGATTAAAATAATTTATGAGAAACTTTTCCACGTGTTAATAAATTATTCTTTGCATTTACTTTCTAGGTCGAATTCACCAAGCTATGGTAACATCTCTAAATGAAGATAATGAAAGTGTGACTGTTGAATGGATTGAAAATGGAGACACTAAAGGCAAAGAGGTAAAATTAATTCTTTTAAAACTTTTTTCTTAAAAAAGAGAAAAAGCTGCATAGCGCTTTGGAATTTTCACTGAAAGCAAAAAGACATGAAAATCTTTAATTTGTGATTCTTTGGTTCCAGACTGTTGGACAATCCTTGTTTTTTGTTGTATGAAATTTGACTTCCTGAGATCTGTGTCATAGCTTTCAGATAGTGCTTTTCATCTATTGATTTTGAACCAGATTAGAAAGACTTTTCTCATTATCCCTTTTTTACAAGGAGAAAAATCAAATTGTTGAGGGGGACAATGACTTGCAGTTACAGGCAGGAAACTAGTGGGAGGGCTAGGTTAGAAATCTAGTGTGTGTATTATTGTAGAACGGAACTTCTAGTTTGTTTATTTTTGTTGCACAATAATTTTCCAGCCTTGTTTTCCTTGTGAAACTGTGTCTCTGCATGTCTCGGTTATGCTTCACTACCCCTGTCCCTGTAAATTTTGGACCTGTTAGCAAATCATTTAAGGTCTCCAGGAAACCAGGTTTCAATAGTTCTGAAACCAGTTATTTTGAGGTATAATCCCTGTCCCAGCTCTCCTCCCTGCACCCTTATGGCATTATGAATAAGTAACACTTACAAGAAAAATAAATAAGTGATAAATTTAGCATGGCTTCCACCTGTGCTTTTAATTTTTGAATCATCTAAGAAATGCCAAGTAGTTGAGGTCTCTCTATTTTATAGAATGTCTTTCATATTCTACAGTAATTGTCAATTTACCACAGTAATGCTAACTACTTTTGCTTTAATTTTATCCCTTTATAAAATTGTGGATATCTACTGGTCATTTTTAATTCATCTGCTTTCTGAAATTAGTATATTTTCAAGCAATACAAAGGCCAAAGCTTAAGGTGTTTTTAGCAAATAAGAGGTTTCAGAGGTGTTAAAACACTAAATATAGTTATTATGTATCCTCAAACTTAAGAGGAGAAATGGAGAGGGTGAAATTATCCGAAGGCTTATAAACGTGTGTTATGTTCTTTTAAACAGATTGACTTGGAGAGCATATTTTCACTTAACCCAGATCTTGCACCTGATGAAGATATTGAGCCTAGTCCAGAGACACCACCACCACCTACTCCATCAGCCAAAGTAAACAGAATCGTGAAGGTTGGTAATGCCTACCAAATGTACATATTAAACTTACAGTCCTCCTATGCATGTTATTTTCCCTGAATTTTTAAGTCTAACTTTTAATATGTGCATCTGCTTGATAAGTGCTTTCTGCTTT